GATAGAAATTTGGGAGCAGCACATAGCGTCATACCTTAACTCTTAATAGTAAGGGAACTCCATCTCAGCCATATATAGTCTATAAACATCACCACACAAGACTGATAAGCAAACAAAGTCAACATGCACACTTCCACCATGCCTAGTGCTTACATCCCTAAGACACAAGTGTTTCTGGACAATGAAATATTAAAACATAATCATTAAAAGCAAACTTCATAATTTTCTCTAATTTCTTTCAGCTTTTGGATATTGCTTCCAACAAGAGCCTGTGATTTTACTGGCAATGTCAACATTCGAGATAATATATTAGACAATAATTATACATTATGCAGGTAAACACTGAAGAGATCAAGTTCACAAGTCGCCACGCAGTGGGCTGAAAATTAAGCTCACAGATCGAAATTCCTAAAATCCAATAATATCTAGAGAACTACTAAGGACAAGAGTAAATCTGATGATGCGCCAGATGATGCACCAAGAGCCACCGACTTCAGGCAAAGTGACCTTCCGCTGGTTACAAGATGAGTACAGAATCCTAATGCACACTACAAACAGAAAGCCACAGTCGCGGTTTTCCCTTCCTCTTCTCTGAGAACCTGGGGGTAAAGTTTCTCTCCAGAAAAATTATATTTCCAAATTCAATCAAACGGAGAACTTGGCAACAACCCTAGTCTAACTGCACAGCTCCGAAAACCACTTTCTTTTGCCTGTCAATTTCACTGGCCAAAGGCAAACTGCAATCACTGACCCTCCTGCAGGATCTGGCCAAATCCTGGGAGGCTAAGCGAAAGAGGAACTTTATACCCACCTGTCGGTGATAGTAGACTGTGTGCCACTCATTGGGGCCCTTGGCAAGAGGTTCTCCTTTTATCCAACTTGCATTTTACAAAAACACCTCCACCCCACCCCCAGTGCTCTGGGATCAGGCCCAATTTCGACAGGGACACAAAAGTCCAACTCAAAACTCCATTCAGTCATCTAGAACATCCGACTGAAGAGGTCAAGGACAAGGGATGAGGGCTGGAGCAAAACAAGTTAATCTCTCAAGACAAACCCAGAAAGTCAGCCAGCCAGAGGCGAGTTCTAGAGCTACCGATAAATCTTCCAGAAAGCAGAGGAAGAAAACTTCGTCAGAGAGGGAAGTCCGCGAGCCGAGGAAAGGGGACCCGGGACTCCCTCCGGGGCTGGGGCGCGATCGGCTCAGGAACGGGCG